TGGTGTACAATTTGCTAAAAATCGGACGAACATATATATGGGACCAATATCTAAATGTGCAAAATTTTGTGCCCATCGGACTAAATTTAACTCTTTGGTGCACCATTTGCTAAAAATCGGACGAAAATATATATGGGAGCTATATCTAAATCTGAACCGAGTTTTCCCAATTTCAATAGGGTTCGTCCCGGGCCCAAATAAATGAGCTGTGCCAAATTTCATCCAATTCGGATAATAAATGCGACCTGCACTTTGTTTACAATTTAACATGGACAGACGGACGGACATGCATAAATCGACTTAGAATGTGATTCTAAGCATATTCTCAAAACGAACCATGGGTCTATCTCGTTTCCCTTTGCCTGTTACATACAAATGCACAAAGACATAATACCCTGTACCACAGTGTGGTAATGCGTAATAAAATGGACCGATGATTCCATATAAAGGTATACCTTATTAATCCGTATTTTGGAGATTATAGGAGCGTTTTTAACGGAATTAGCTCTAATTTGATTCTCATTAGTTGGACTTTCCAAAGCAGTTGTTTTCTATTGAAATTTCTGTAATTAATTTTTAAAATATCCACCACACAAAGGCTATTTTTTGTAATTATTTTTATGATTCATTGCAGTAATTTATTAATTAAATAATGGAATATTATTCTAAACAATGATTAAAACGATCTGTTTGACTTATTGTGTTACAAACAGAAAATAAAACAAAATTTCCAATTTAGATTGCGATTTCATTCTACAACAATTAATTGAAATAATTATCAACTTGTTAAAAAACAACAAAAACAATGTTAATAACTCATAATTTGTTTAATGATTGATATTTTTGTTATTATAAAAAAATAAATGTCAAAAAAACTTCTAATGGGCTATTCCCAAATAATTTGAGAATAATACATTTTAAATATCGTGGATTTAAATATCGTGGATTTAAAAAAAAATGCTCTCTATTTGCAAAAAACTCTAGTAGTCGATTTTCACAATCCTCCCTAGATACCATTTTTTTCTGGCGACTCGCTGTGGATGTGTTTGGCCCAGCGTTGTCCTGGTGGAACACGCCAACAGGAGAAGTTCGCCAATTATGGCCGTTTCTGGTCAATTGCTATCGTCAAACGGTCCAGTTGTTAACAATAGATATAAGAATTTAGCGTATGGCCATATGGAAGCAACTCATAATAAATAATCCCCTTCCAGTCACACCAAATCCATAGCAGAACCTTCCTGTCCGTTTGTCCTGGTTTGGCCACCGTTTGAGCTACTTCACCGCTCTTTGGCCACGATCGCACTGGGTTATCGTATGTGATCCATTTATCATCCCCTGTCACCATCCGTTTAAAAATGGGTTTATCTAATTCCCTTGTCTGTTAATTTGTGTGGCACCCAAACATCGAGCTTCTTCTTGAATCCTGCTTTGTGTAAATGGTTTAAAAGAGTTTTATGGTCGATTTTTATCTCCTGGGCGATGATACCACTGTTAACAACCTCGGTAATTTCACCGATTTTATCGACATTTTCGACGACCGGCCTAATGGATTTCTTTTTCCCCTACCTAATATAAAATTTTTCAAATATAAATTATATTCACAAAAATGTGAAATTTAGACTTTGACCTCATGTCATTTGTAAACCGTGACCCATAATGTTATAAAATTTTCTGGTACAAAGCTCAAAGCCTCCAGTTTTGAAATATATAACGTTTTATCGGCTCCACCTAAAATGGACTTTTTGCTAAAAAATTGGATTTCTGGCCCATAGTGCTGCCCAACGAATAATTATGGATATTTTGATGACTTCTATGACAGACTTATATTCTGGAAAAATATACATCGGAGAAGTTGGCAGTACATTCAAGAGGAGTTGCAACGAACTTTTATACGGATCTGGACACGCATGTGAACATTTACATGTTTTCTCCAAGATCGCTTTAAGGGGACCCCCCCCATTCTCGGGGTCAAAATTTTTTTTTGATTTAATTCGATTCTACACTAATTCAAGAATGTCTCTACAAAATTTCAAGTGAAAATCTCAAGAACTTTTGAAGATATAGCCGATTTATTGTGTCAGCATCAAGTGACGGCTAAGGGCTTCACAAACTTTAAACACGTTTTTCTCTTTTGCGAATGGCGGGCACGATAACTCAAAAACTAATTACCCAATCGATTTCAAATTTTTACACGTTTCTCTGTGAGTGTGAAGATCGGTGAAGATCTTCCTTATTTTTTAACTTGGTTTTTGGTCAAAAATCGGCGATTTTCCAAAAATATTTTTTCAAAGGTCCGCCATTTTGTTAATTTTAGAGCGAAGTCAATAATCCTAGTTCATACGAGAGCCAGACATGTACTCTTTTTAACACCGTTGGAATTTTCGGATTCCGATGTTCCAGTGCGGAGTTATCATGCCCGCCATCAAAAATAAGGACTTTTCTTTAATTAAAAAAAAAAACAACAACAAAACAATAACAAAAAATTTTTGTAAATTTTTTTTCTTCTCTTTTAAATCTTCAATTATATATGTGCAAAGTTACAAACCTTAACAAGCATTGGTATTGATTTAACAGCCCATTGAAAATCTTGAAAAATTAAAATCGAGAATGGGTGGGGTTCCCTTAAATTATTATAAAAAAATTTATGTACGTGGTCGGTTATTCAACAATATTCAGAACGGGACTTTTCCAATATATTTTGAAGAACCAAGACCCAATGTTGGATTTTTGAAATATTAATTTAGATCCCATGTTTTTTTTTTTTTTTTCAGACAATTTGTAAATCGAAAAAAAAAGTCGGCTTCATCCAAACTTTGTACATCGTAATATATCTTTCAAACTCAGTTTAAGTTCGAAGATGGGGAACATCGGTCCACTCCTTCTGGTACCTCTCCCACAAAATGGTCAAAAGTGTGCAAACAAGTGAAAGGAATGTCGAATTTGAACTAAACATTGTACATATAAACTATTGTATTTACCAAGTTTAAATCAAGTCCGAAGATGGGACCAATTGGTCCACTCCTTCTGGTACGAAGGGCCAATATTTCATACATTTGTAAATTCAATTTGAAATGTTTTGAATAATGAATTCAAATGGTTCAACATTAAATCCGAAACCTACTAGATAAAAACATATACCTTACATAAAGCAAATAATACAACTTCTGTTTAATTGTAAAGAATTCGTCAGATTTCCTCTAAATTGTACACCATATGCGCACCATCTATCCGATTGAGATGAACAAAAATGCGGCATATTTGGTGTAAATCGCTTCCGATTTACATATATCTCTAATATATATTTTTTCAAATTTCGTTCTCCTCCTCTCTATATATCAAAAGTAGCGTATGGTATAATATAGTCGGTCCCAATTAAACACGGCTCATTAAAACTAGGACTCAATGATGGAGTTAAATGAATATCCTACTTTTATATAGGGATGTGTCGGTTAGAAAATGTGCCGAATTAAATAACATAAACACAAAATCACTTGAAAGGTTTTGGAATTTCGTAGAATGTAGACAATTTAGGGATTCATTTGTGGTACAGTCCACAGCAGCCTCTTTTAACATACTGTATGTCTTATTCAGTAAAAATTATAAATATGTATGTTACTGTGTATGAAAACGATTGTTGCACTGTAAAACTGGTTATTTTAGTTTATTGCTTATATTATTCATTTCAAGCATGATCTTTCTCATGGTTATTATCATTTTTATATTACAGTTCACTCCCAATAAAAGCAATTTATGTATGTTATGTTATGTTATTTATGTTATGTTTCGAAATTTTGGGGTTCTTGAGCGCCTTTTTCAACCAAATTCGCTGTAATTTGGCATTTTGTAGTATTATATGGTATCAAATCTCCCTCCCGCAACTTATTAATATTCGCCCACTTTTAGAAGTAGTCCCCATATTACCCCTTTTTTATTAAAACAGTTATGATTTGTTAGGCGGTTTGAATTCGGTTCTAATAGTACGTTTACATTTAACAGGATTTCGTTAACCCAGTGGGTTTCAATTGTCAATTCCTTTGCATAAATGCCAAATAAATCCTCATAAAGTAGGTTAACCCGGTAAAAAGTTCTAATGTATATGCCGTTTAAGACTTTGTGTAATAATTCTACCTGCTGAGGATATCGAGATAAAAAAAAACTATAAAGTGAGGTTCCGCCCGCAGTTAAGTCCAGCTCCCATATAATGATACCTACCGAATTTCGGTATTTTCAATATTTAGCGTAAAGGAAGTTATTCTGATGCAAAAATGTTAGATTCAAAATTGAGCTATATATAATGATAACTACAAATGTTCGATAATTCCTACACGGAATCCCGGTTTAGGTATCGCTGAAAATTGCTGAAATTTGTACTTGTTGTACAAATCGGTTTTGGAGAAATGTCGGTATAAGTCCACTTTTTGGTATGTACCTGTCAGTATACCTGTGGTGGAGGGTATGCAACGTTCGGCCCTCCCGAACATAACGTTTTTTAAGTCATATATCTGTTACGTGGAGTGCACTGTACTAATTACATATCTTACCCTATTGTTTGTGATACAAATCAATATTAAAACGAAATTTACAATACACAACGATAGGGTTGGCCTTTTGTTAATGTTGTTAATATAGCCCTTGCCCAAGTAATTGGTAATGCGCCGTGAGCACATTTAAAATGTCTAGATTTTAAACCGGTTATTCTTCTAGATGATGGCAGGTGCAAAACAAAGCTACAGGCATAACAATTTCAATGTCAGTAGACAACATTATTTGCCAACTGGATTTTTAATGCCATATTAATTTATTTATATTTGTATTTATTTATTTTTCTTCATACTTAACCTTTTATGGTATCCACATTTTAGCACAAACAGACAGACACACACTAGGTGTCCACTATTTTTTCCATGTTTGTTTTATTTATACCAATTACAAAAATAAAGAAGAAAGAATAGAAGGAAGAAAAGAAGAAAAAAACAAATAGAGAAATAACAAAAAACATTTCACACTCCGGCACGGCACTGATTTCTATGATCGCGTACTTGGCCATTTGGACAATCACGCCCCTGATACTGCAAAAGGAAACGATCATCTATAGCTTCTGGTACGACTGGTGTGGATTTGTAATGCTCACCTGTGCTGGATTTGGAGGCATCTTCGTGGCCAGGCAATGGTGCCAGTGGTATCTTCTCGGTGGATGTTACCACGGTGGCGGCTGGAGCGGAGGATGCTGCATCAGGCTTCTCCTCACTATCGGTAAGTTTATGTTTGACCTCATCGTATTTCTGAGCTACGGTATTACCGAATTCCTTGGCCTTAGTGGCGACAGTATCGGCATAGGGTTTCAAGGTGCAACCGGCATTTTTAAACCAAGCAGTAACTTGACCATCCTTTTCGGGATCACCGCAATCTTTCTTCTCTTCCTCGGCGTTGGTGGCCGACAGCAAAATCAATGCCAAAAATGTCCAAACGATTACGAATTTCATGTTAAGGTTTTGTTCTTGGCTTTCAAAATCCAGAGAAACAAATGCGATGAATTCAATTTAAAACGCGATAATAACAAAAACGATGCTTCTCCACTAAAGAGCTTTGAGCAACTAATCGTTGTTGTTTGCAATTCCGATTTGACTAAACCACACACTGGCCACTGTTGGTAATTTAAGCTTTGATTTGTTTTCTCAGTCTCCAAATCTCGTTTGACTTCTCACAGCACTGTAAAGAGAGTTAACATTTTAACACAAAGAGAGGGCCAGCTATAAATAAGACAATAGCGTTGCCATTTCGAAATTGGTCGGGTTTATGTATTTGTTCCATTTTCTAAAGTAAAAATAAAATTTTGCCTAAATTCAGGTTTTCTATAGGAAAACTTCAATTCAGCCTGGCTGAATGAGGTTTTCTATAGGAAAACTTCAATTCAGCCTGGCTGAATGAGGTTTTCTATAGGAAAACTTCAATTCAGCCTGGCTGAATGAGGTTTTCTATAGGAAAACTTCAATTCAGCCAGGCTGAATGAGGTTTTCTATAGAAAAACTTCAATTCAGCCAGGCTGAATGAGGTTTTCTATAGGAAAACTTCAATTCAGCCAGGCTGAATGAGGTTTTCTATAGGAAAACTTCAATTCAGCCTGGCTGAATGAGGTTTTCTATAGGAAAACTTCAATTCAGCCTGGCTGAATGAGGTTTTCTATAGGAAAACTTTGATTCAGTCTGGCTGAATTAGGTTTTCTATAGGAAAACTTTGATTCAGCCTGGCTGAATTAGGGTTTCTATAGGAAACCCGAATAAGGTTTTCTATAGAAATACTTCAATTCAGCCTGGCAGAATAAGGGTTTCTATAGAATTACTTCAATTCAGTCTGCCTGAATTCGGTTTTCTATAAGAAAACGTCAATTCAGCCTGGCTGAATGAGGTTTTCTATAAGAAAACTTTGATTCAGCCATGGCTAAATTAAGTTTTCAAACAATAAACTTCATGTGCCATTCTCTTTTCCATGTTTACTTACTTTTTTAATATTCAGCCTCTCGAAATTTTTGTTGTTGTTGTAAATTAATGAACATACGACTTATAATGCATACTTTTAGGATTTTATTATATTTCGTACATAACGTTTGATTTTAATCTTGTTTAATTTTTGTTCTTTATGTATTACATTTGTCACATCTTAACTGTGGGAATACATTCCCTACTTAAACTGCTGTTCTAGAGAGTGTTTATAAAAAAAGTATTCCAAAGAGCTATTTGGGTCAAATACACCGATGTATGTACATATTTAAAGAAAAAAGTGGAAGAACCAGAACAAGTTATTCCATATACAGGCTACTAAGGTATAATAACACCTATGCGGTTAGTGAACCACATTGGACATGCCCACATTCAGTTGAACGAAGACAATTACAATTACAACTTCTTCATTCATCAGCTTCCAAAGTCGATTGCAACATCAGTTAAGTGTCACATAACAGTTCGCGATCGCATCTTGAACGTAAAACATCATCAACCAACCAATAAATAACGGATAAACGATGGCATATCTTCCGTATTTCATTGCTGTCCAATTAATTGTCATTTCGCATTTTCTAATTTTTATGGAAAGTGCCGCTATAATATGCGACAATAATCGTTTCATTAAAAAATCAAATGATCTTGGTGACAAATTCGCCCACAACATTTCACACATTCACATCTCAGTGCAGACGGAAACGAACGAAAGTGAAGTAAACAAATTTCTACATAAAATTCAATGTACCCTGGAGAAGGCCAAACCGTGGATGGATGAATTGCAACAGGAAGCTAAGCGATTGGAGGAGGCAGCAAAGTTATTAGGTCTTGGTATTATAAATAGTTTTGGAGCATTTATTGATAAAATCACAGAGGATGATGAACCGAAAAAGCCTCTGCAAACGGTGGTGGTAATCTCAAACAGTGATGTGGATACTAATAGTTCGACAACAACTACATCTCCGGAAATAACAACAACCGAAATAATATCTGAATTTTTATGCCCTGAAGGATTTATTGCCGATCACAATGGTATTTGTGAGCGTATCGAATAATTTGAAGTGGAGTAGATGGAGTAGACAAAAAAACAATTTAATATTTAAATTTTATTATTTTGAATAAATAAAAAAATAACAATAGCGACAGTATAAAACCATAGGTGTATTTTCTTTCTCTAGGAGTAAAAGTTTTCCTATGGAAACACAAGGTTTTTCTGTAGAAACCCTTATTCAGCCAGGCTGAATTGAAGTTTTTCTATAGGAAAACCTTATTCAGCCAGGCTGAATTGAAGTTTTTCTATAGAAAACCTTATTCAGCCAGGCTGAATTGAAGTTTTTCTATAGAAAACCTTATTCAGCAAGGCTGAGTTGAAGTTTTTCTATAGAAAATCTTATTCAGCCAGGCTGAATTGAAGTTTTTCAGCCAGGCTGAATTGAAGTTTTTCTATAGAAAATCTTATTCAGCCAGGCTGAATTGAAGTTTTTCTATAGAAAATCTTATTCAGCCAGGCTGAATTGAAGTTTTTCTATAGAAAATCTTATTCAGCCAGGCTGAATTGAAGTTTTTCTATAGAAAATCTTATTCAGCCAGGCTGAATTGAAGTTTTTCTATAGAAAATCTTATTCAGCCAGGCTGAATTGAAGTTTTTCTATAGAAAATCTTATTCAGCCAGGCTGAATTGAAGTTTTTCTATAGAAAATCTTATTCAGCCAGGCTGAATTGAAGTTTTTCTATAGAAAATCTTATTCAGCCAGGCTGAATTGAAGTTTTTCTATAGAAAATCTTATTCAGCCAGGCTGAATTGAAGTTTTTCTATAGAAAATCTTATTCAGCCAGGCTGAATTGAAGTTTTTCTATAGAAAATCTTATTCAGCCAGGCTGAATTGAAGTTTTTTCTTTATGGGTATTCAAGGGGTTAAATCATTACAAAGCGTACAAGTAATTTCTTTTTATATTTGTAATCATGTTTTTATATAGAAAATCTTATTCAGCCAGGCTGAAATGAAGTTTTTCTATAGAAAATCTTATTCAGCCAGGCTGAATTGAAGTTTTTCTATAGAAAATCTTATTCAGCCAGGCTGAATTGAAGTTTTTCTATAGAAAATCTTATTCAGCCAGGCTGAATTGAAGTTTTTCTATAGAAAATCTTATTCAGCCAGGCTGAATTGAAGTTTTTCTATAGAAAATCTTATTCAGCCAGGCTGAATTGAAGTTTTTCTATAGAAAATCTTATTCAGCCAGGCTGAATTGAAGTTTTTCTATAGAAAATCTTATTCAGCCAGGCTGAATTGAAGTTTTTCTATAGAAAATCTTATTCAGCCAGGCTGAATTGAAGTTTTTCTATAGAAAATCTTATTCAGCCAGGCTGAATTGAAGTTTTTCTATAGAAAATCTTATTCAGCCAGGCTGAATTGAAGTTTTTCTATAGAAAATCTTATTCAGCCAGGCTGAATTGAAGTTTTTCTATAGAAAATCTTATTCAGCCAGGCTGAATTGAAGTTTTTCTATAGAAAATCTTATTCAGCCAGGCTGAATTGAAGTTTTTCTATAGAAAATCTTATTCAGCCAGGCTGAATTGAAGTTTTTCTATAGAAAATCTTATTCAGCCAGGCTGAATTGAAGTTTTTCTATAGAAAATCTTATTCAGCCAGGCTGAATTGAAGTTTTTCTATAGAAAATCTTATTCAGCCAGGCTGAATTGAAGTTTTTCTATAGAAAATCTTATTCAGCCAGGCTGAATTGAAGTTTTTCTATAGAAAATCTTATTCAGCCAGGCTGAATTGAAGTTTTTCTATAGAAAATCTTATTCAGCCAGGCTGAATTGAAGTTTTTCTATAGAAAATCTTATTCAGCCAGGCTGAATTGAAGTTTTTCTATAGAAAATCTTTTTCAGCTAGGCTGAATTGAAGTTTTTCTATAGAAAATCTTATTCAGCCAGGCTGAATTGAAGTTTTTCTATACAAAATCTTATTCAGCCAGGCTGAATTGAAGTTTTTTCTTTATGGGTATTCAAGGGGTTAAATCATTACAAAGCGTACAAGTAATTTCTTTTTATATTTGTAATCATGTTTTGCATGTTATACCACAATATCACTTATTTATCATCTAGTTTTATATATAAATTACCGCATGCCGATTATACATGATCGTCTATAAATATTATCATGATACAGCATTGTATATATTTTTTATTTATTCTTCATTTTCAAGCCATTTCATTTGAAATCGTAGAGTAGAATATTTCGATCCAGAGGAATCGCATCACCGTTATAAACAATAATGCAAATAGTATTTTCATTTGTTTTCTTGCTTTGCCTAATGGCCATTATCGGATGTAATGGAAATAATTCCGATACGCTCGGTAACGAAAAGTCTGCAATACAATATTTTTCGAGGCACCTTGTAAAACGTGACATCTCAAGTGCGCCTCGCAACTGCAAAGCTGGACCAAATAATAAATGTTATCGTACTCGTAGTGCCATGAAAGATAGTGACATACAGAGTGGTCAAGTGCGTGCGGTGAGTTATATTCAATAGTAATTTTAATGACGTATCTAAATAATGTCTGGTGTTTTTTTATTTTTAGGGTAACCGAAGGAAGAAGTCTTTTATGGGAAAGAAGTATTAGTCGTGTTATTAAGAGAAATGTGAATTTTATATAAATACCTGTCCGTTAATCATGTTCCATTTAGAAAAATAAATATATGTAAATTTTTTCGAACTATATCCTATTTCCTAAAATTTCTTTAAAAAGCTGGAAGTTTTCCTATAGAAAACCTTATTTAGCCAAACTGAGTTGATGTTTTTCCGAAGAAAACGTTATTCAGCCACGGAAAACCTTAACCAGTGGAAACCGATCGGGAATTTTATGTAGGGTCTAAATGTCTCAAATTCTACAAATACCCAAAATTGGAGTACTATTTTTCATTGGACTAACCTAAAACAGTGGACCAATGTTAATAATTTCTAATAAGTAGATTTGCCACCCAATGAAACAATTAATATATATATATATATATATATGTATATATATATATATATATATGTTTCAAATTCGATACCTGTTAATTAGGGCTGTACCAATGCCAGAAACGATATTCGATATTAAATGACAAAGCCACATAATCCTAAGCCTCGATATTGAATGACGATGTTCTACGCATAATGAATCCAAATCCACTTTGGTTGAAAAGCTTTGCCCGAACTCCTGAAAATATCGAAATGTATTAAGGTCAGCCCAAAAAAGTGGACCGCTACTTCTAATGCTTGGTAAGAAGACGGATTGTTCCATATTTGGTTTTTCAAGTCTATCTAAAGGGTGTTCAAGACTTAATTTTAACAAATCATGGCTCTATAGTACTGGAGTGTGATCAAATTAAAAATTTCTATATTTCATAAATACTTCTAAAAAATTTAAAAATTTTACATTTAAATGCAATTGAAAATTCTTTTTTGTTTTTTTTTTTTTTTTTGATATTTGTAATATGTACATATATTTTTTGTGTCACAAACGGAATTTTAAATTATCTTAATTTTATGCTATGCTCTGTGAATGTTATCACAACAAGAACAACAACAAAAACTATGCCCCCACACACATTAGTGTTTATGTGTTGTATGTTATTGATTGTTGTTTATAACTCTGCTATTTATAGCTCCACATTAGTGTTTAGGCAACAAAATGTTTAACAACTGGCTCGTTGGTCTAGGGGTATGATTTCCGCTTAGGGTGCGGGAGGTCCCGGGTTCAAATCCCGGACGAGCCCAAAGATGAAATATTTTTTACATTTCTTAAATATATATTTTAAAGAATATATTTTTTTAATACATAGAGGAAGGTGTTTTTAAAGGCTATTTGTAAAAAGTTTAGAAGAAAAGAGTAGAGGTTTCACAATATTTTTTAAATAATTCAAAACCGTGAATGTTTCAAAGGTTTTTTTTTAATAAGTTCACTAGCGTTGAATTTTTGAAAAAAAATTCGATAAAGAACACATGTTTGGATTTCTTGTGAGTATTTTGATACAATGAATATCGAAAGCTTAATTTTTAATTTTTTAAAGCTTAGATTTCTTAAAGATTTTTTTTTTTCAAAAAAAGTGAAAGAATATATTTTAATTTTCAAGATGTTTGTTTCTGTGGATTTTTAACCGATTTTTTACTCTCTGGGGATGATTTAATGAATATTTCAAACGAACATGAGAAGTGAGAGTTTTTAAATAATACTTTTTTCAGAAATAATCCGATATATTTTAAAAAGACATAATAGGAGTGTTTTTCTTGTATATTTTTCACGAATATCAGAGGCATAGATTTTTATTAAAATAATTTTTAACAATTTATTTAACAAAGCGTGCCATATTTAATTAATTTGTCATTCCATTTGCAAAACATCAAAATATCCATTTCAGATATAATAGAGCATATATTAGGTTGGGGAAAAAGAAATCCATTATTTTCGACAGATGGCTGTACCGATAGATTTCTCGTAAGGAATCGATCATATAATTTCACATTTATGACATTTCGCATTAAAAAAATATATTTTGCTGTTCTTTGTCTGGTGCATTCAATTGTGTGTTACAGGGTGTTAAAAATAGATGTGAACAAAGAGAAAATTCGGTACATTTACATTTGCTCTTCGACAAAGTGGAAAATGCAAGCCAAGCGGCTAATATTGTGAATAGTGTTTATGGTTCCGATACTGTATCAGTCAATTATGTGCAATTTTGGTTTCGTAGATCCGTTCAGGAATTTTTGATGTTAATGATGTACCTCGCACAGGTAGGCCGGTCGACGAAAATGTTGATAAAGGAAAAATGGTCGAAGTTGAGCGGCATGTTAGTAGTTGTAACAAAAATTTTTTAATGCCGACTTCTATGAGAGATGCATTATAAAGTTACCTTTAAAATGACAACAAATCATACAACAAAACGGTGCATATTCGGACATTCCGAAGCATGTTAAATAAAGTCCAAAGTTTATATACAAATAATGGATTTATGTTTCCCCAAACTAATATATTCTTGATCAGAATAAAATGTTTATATCGATTTTGCCATGTCCGATTAAATAGAGAGAACTTTGAAATTACATTACCACTGTTCCTATAACGATAACCTTAAGTTCTAGCATATTGGACATGTTCTGAAACTTTTTTAAATTGGCTGCAGTTTTTTCTTCGCCTTTTCGGAAACGTTGACATGAAATTGAACGAAACTAAATAAAAACATCAATCCATACAGATATCATTTTGCAATCTATGCTACATTTCATTCGCGCAGATTTAGAGTCATTGGCGTACAATGCGACAAAATTAGGTAAATCCATTTAAAGCTAACTTGTCATACGCTATTCGGTATGCTGCTCTGTTGAATATTTAATCACAATCAGACACCCGTTGATTATTTGGTGCACAATTACCATAAAGTCGGTCGAAAAAAACGCAATAACGTCATTTTAGTCTCAATTTGATACGTTGTGTAAAATTTCGTGTTAATCGGCAAACATTAGTAGTCTGTTGTCCATTTACTTATAATTGGACGAAAATGTATATAGGACCTATATCTTTTTCTGAACCGATTCCTATATAACATGACAAATGTTAGGCTACATCTAAATCTAAACCGATTTTTGTGAATTTGGACATTTATTCAGCTATATTTCTTTTATGTTGGATTCTCATTGAGTAACAAATTTCCCTATACAAATTATTTATTTTGGCTCACGGTTCGGGGTAGACTCCATATAACGGTACCCGCCATTATTCGATATTTTGGAATATCATTCTGTATTTAATTTACAAATAAGCGTGGATTTGTTAAATAATTATATTCAACCTTCCACGGACCCATAAGCGTGGATTTTTTAAAGAATTATTTTCAACCTTCCATGGACCCATAAGCGTGCATCTTTTAAAGAATTATTTTCAACCTTCCATGGACCCATAAGCGTGCATCTTTTAAAGAATTGTTTTCAATCATCCATATACCCCAAGCGTGAATTTTTTAAAGAATTATTTTCTACCTTCCATGGGCCCACAAGCGTGGATATTTTAAAGAATTATTATCAACCATCCATGGACCCATAGGCGTAGATTAAACAAAATTAACCTTCTATATATTTATAAGCGATGATTTTAAAGAATTATATTCAACCATTCATGGACCCATAAGAGTATATAGAACAAAATTAACCGTCAATATATCTATAAGCGAGGATTTTTAAAGAACTTCTTTCAACATGGATGGTCTTATTATATCGGATTTTTAGCCACACTTGCCAACATTATTTGCTGCACTAAATGCCTGTATTTACATGGTTCAGAATAGTAAAAAATCGGCTCTGTCCAAATTTAACACATTTTTCAAATGTATATATTTTATAAGCATAGTTGAATTACTTTATTGATATCCTCTAAATATTTTGTTACAATTATTCTACTATGATTCATAACACAAATTTTCCCACGCCTTAACGTAGTAATTTTTGGTGTATTCTTAGCATATACATTCACTTTTTTAACTTAATTTTATACACTCATTTCACTTAGTTAATTAATGATCTCGGTAAATTCGCGAAATTTCTTACAATTACCCAAGGCATCTAAAATATAGCCATTACCACATTTTTGAGTATCGATTATCACCACGTCAGTATCAATGACTTCCTCAGGTTTAAACAACAATTTCTTCTCCGTTCCACGTTCAAGATACTCAGCTGAATCCTGTTTCAAATTATCCTTGAAATCATTATATTTAGTTTGGATTTTCTTTCCCAAATCTTTAGATTTTTCTTTGAGTTTCTTTAGGCCTTCGCGTATATTTTCCGACCATTGTTTGGTTTTCTCTTTGACATTGGCCCCCAGATTTGCTGTACTCTTCTTGAGTTTACAACTCCATTCTTTGAGGACATCTTTTACTTTGTTTCCCGCGGCAATCTCCTCACTTTCGATTTTGTGACCAATTATTGATGCATCTGCAACACCGCTTGATAGTTTATCATCATCCTCATCGCAGTGCAGTAAATCAGCCTTGGTGGCAACAAAGCTTAATAGGAAAATTAATGCTGCTATAAATATTACTTGATGTTTCATCGTGTTGTAGTTTTTTTTATTATTTTTTTAATTCTCTTATCGGTTGTGTAGTTGTTGCTCTGACGTTGCTTGTTCGACTGATAGTAGTTCTGATACTATTATGTCGTTAGACATATTCAACAATACTGTTAAGTGATTTATTTTTCTTTTTTGTTTAATTTAATATAGGCAAATTGTCTCCCATCCCATGTAAGACCTCCACTACTCATTCAATTGTTGATCTTTTGTGTATTCACTGAAGAATATGCACTTTTGTGTGAGACCCACCGGCTAACAAGCAGCGGGTGGTCCACAACTTATTTATAATCATCATTTTCGTATTTATATTTCTATGTTATTCATCTTCGAAGAAAGTCATCAAATGAGAGAAGATTAAATGAATCACTTCTAGATTACTAAGAACTATAAGTTTTGTTAATCTTTAGATGTGTAAGTACCCTTCTGTAAATTGGTGTAGTGTGAAAAGTATTAAATGCCGCGTAATAAATGAATTAAAAAAACTCGAAAGAAATGCTTTAAAAAATCCACGCTTATGGTTCCATATGTGGTTGAAAATATTTATTTTAAAAATCCAGGCGTATGGTTCCATAGGCGGTTGAAAATATTTATTTTATAAATCCACGCTTATGGTTCCATAGGTGGTTGAAAATATTTATTTTATAAATCCACGCTTATGGTTCCATAGGTGGTTGAAAACATTTATTTTAAAAATCCACCCTTATGGTTCCATAGATGGTTGAAAATATTTATTTTATAAATCCACGCTTATGGTTCCGTAGGTGGTTGAAAATATTTATTTTATAAATCCACGCTTATGGTTCCATAGGTGGTTGAAAATATTTATTTTATAAATCCACGCTTATGGTTCCATAGGTGGTTGAAAACATTTATTTTAAAAATCCACCCTTATGGTTCCATAGGTGGTTGAAAATATTTATTTTATAAATCCACGCTTATGGTTCCATAGATGGTTGAAAATAATTCTTAAACAAAATCCACGCTTATGGTTCCATAGATGGTTGAAAATAATTCTTTAAAAAATCCACACATATGGGTCCATGGAAGATTGAAAATAATTCTTTAAAAAATCCACGCTTATGGGCCCATAGAAGGTTGAAAATAATTTTTTAAAAAATCCACGCTTATGGCTCCATAGGTGGTTGCAAATAATTCTTAAAAAAATTCACGCTTATGGTTCCATAGGTGGTTGAAAATAATTCTTTAAAAAATCCACGCTTATGGGTCCATGGAAGGTTGAAAATAATTCTTTAACAAAATCCACGCTTATAGTTCCATAGGTGGTTGAAAATAATTCTTAAAAAAAATCCACGCTTATGGTGCCATAGGTGGTTGAAAATAATTCTTTAAAAAATTCACGCTTATGGGTCTATGAATGGTTGTAAATAATACTTTAAAAAATCCACGCATATGGGTCCATGGAAGATTGAAAATAATTCTTTAAAAAATCCACGCTTATGGCTCCATAGGTGGTTGCAAATAATTCTTAAAAAAATTCACGCTTATGGTTCCATAGGTGGTTGAAAATAATTCTTTAAAAAATCCACGCTTATGGGTCCATGGAAGGTTGAAAATAATTCTTAAACAAAATCCACGCTTATGGTTCCATAGGTGGTTGAAAATAATTCTTTAAAAAATCCACGCTTATGGGTCCATGGAAGGTTGAAAATAATTCTTAAACAAAATCCACGCTTATGGTTCCATAGGTGGTTGAAAATAATTCTTTAAAAAATCCACGCTTATGGGTCCATGGAAGGTTGAAAATAATTCTTAAACAAAATCCACGCTTATGGTTCCATAGGTGGTTGAAAATAATTCTTTAAAAAATCCACGCTTATGGTTCCATAGGTGGTTGAAAATAATTCTTTAAAAAATCCACACTTATGGGTCTATGAATGGTTGGAAATAATTCTTTAAAAAATCCACGCTTGTGGTCAATGAATGGTTTGAAATAATTCTTTAAAAAATCCACGCTTATGGGTCAATGAATGGTTGTAAATAATTCTTTAAAAATTCCACGCTTATGGGCCAATGAATGGAAATAATTCTTTAAAAAATCCACGCTTATGGGTCTATGAATGGTTGGAAATAATTCTTTAAAAAATCCACGCTTATGGGCCCATAGAAGGTTGAAAATAATTTTTTAAAAAATCCACGCTTATGGCTCCATAGGTGGTTGCAAATAATTCTTAAAAAAATTCACGCTTATGGTTCCATAGGTGGTTGAAAATAATTCTTTAAAAAATCCACGCTTATGGGTCCATGGAAGGTTGAAAATAATTCTTTAACAAAATCCACGCTTATAGTTCCATAGGTGGTTGAAAATAATTCTTAAAAAAAATCCACGCTTATGGTGCCATAGGTGGTTGAAAATAATTCTTTAAAAAATCCACGCTTATGGGTCTATGAATGGTTGTAAATAATACTTTAAAAAATCCACGCATATGGGTCCATGGAAGATTGAAAATAATTCTTTAAAAAATCTACGCTTATGGGTCCATGGAAGGTTGAAAATAATTCTTTAAAAAATCCACGCTTATGGCTCCATAGGTGGTTGCAAATAATTCTTAAAAAAATTCACGCTTATGGTTCCATAGGTGGTTGAAAATAATTCTTTAAAAAATCCACGCTTATGGGTCCATGGAAGGTTGAAAATAATTCTTAAACAAAATCCACGCTTATGGTTCCATAGGTGGTTGAAAATAATTCTTTAAAAAATCCACGCTTATGGGTCCATGGAAGGTTGAAAATAATTCTTAAACAAAATCCACGCTTATGGTTCCATAGGTGGTTGAAAATAATTCTTTAAAAAATCCACGCTTATGGGTCCATGGAAGGTTGAAAATAATTCTTAAACAAAATCCACGCTTATGGTTCCATAGGTGGTTGAAAATAATTCTTTAAAAAATCCACGCTTATGGGTCCATGGAAGGTTGAAAATAATTCTTAAACAAAATCCACGCTTATGGTTCCATAGGTGGTTGAAAATAATTCTTTAAAAAATCCACGCTTATGGTTCCATAGGTGGTTGAAAATAATTCTTTAAAAAATCCACACTTATGGGTCTATGAATGGTTGGAAATAATTCTTTAAAAAATCCACGCTTGTGGTCAATGAATGGTTGGAAATAATTCTTTAAAAAATCCACGCTTGTGGTCAATGAATGGTTGGAAATAATTCTTTAAAAAATCCACGCTTATGGGTCAATGAATGGTTGTAAATAATTCTTTAAAAATTCCACGCTTATGGGCCAATGAATGGAAATAATTCTTTAAAAAATCCACGCTTATGGGTCTATGAATGGTTGGAATTAATTCCTTTAAAAATCCACACTTATGGGTCTATGAATGGTTGGAAATAATTCTTTAAAAAATCCACGCTTATGGGTCTATGAATGGTTGTAAGTAATTCTTTAAAAAATCCACGCTTATGGGTCTATGAATGGTTGTAAATAATTCTTTAAAAAATCCACGTTTATGGGTCTATGAATGGTTGTAAATAATTCTTTAAAAAATCCACGTTTATGGGTCTATGAATGGTTGTAAATAATTCTTTAAAAAATCCACGCTTATGGTTCCATATGTGGTTGGAAATAATTCTTTAAAAAATCCACGCTTATGGGTCTATGAATGGTTGGAATTAATTCCTTTAAAAATCCACACTTATGGGTCTATGAATGGTTGGAAATAATTCTTTAACAAATCCACGCTTATGGATCTATGAATGGTTGTAAGTAATTCTTTAAAAAATCCACGCTTATGGGTCTATGAATGGTTGTAAATAATTCTTTAAAAAATCCACGTTTATGGGTCTATGAATGGTTGTAAATAATTCTTTAAAAAATCCACTTTTATGGGTCTATGAATGGTTGTAAATAATTCTTTAAAAAATCCACGCTTATGGTTCCATATGTGGTTGGAAATAATTCTTTAAAAAATCCACGCCTATGGGTCTATGAATGGTTGGAAATAATTCTTTAAAAAATCCACGCTTATGGGTCCATGGAAGGTTGAAAATAATTCTTAAACAAAATCCACGCTTATGCTTCCATAGGTGTTTGAAAATAATTCTTAAACAAAATCCACGCTTATGCTTCCATAGGTGGTTGAAAATAATTCTTTAAAAAATCCACGCATATGGGTCCATGGAAGATTGAAAATAATTCTTTAAAAAATCCACGCATATGGGTCCATGGAAGATTGAAAATAATTTTTTAAAAAATCCACGCTTATGGTTCCATAGGTGGTTGCAAATAATTCTTAAAAAATTCACGCTTATGGTTCCATAGGTGGTTGAAGATAATTCTTTAAAAAATCCACGCTTATGGTTCCATAGGTGGTTGCAAATAATTCTTAAAAAAATTCACGCTTATGGTTCCATAGGTGGCCAAAAATAATTCTTTAAAAAAGCCTCGCTTATGATACCATAGGTGGTTGAAAATAATTCTTTAAAAAATCCACGCTTATGGTTCCATATGTGGTTAAAAATAATTCTTTAACAAATCCAGGCTTTATGGTTTCATAAATAATTGAAAAACTCACTATTATAGGTATATGGGGTCTACGAATGATTGAAAAAACACACACTTTCTTTAAATCACAGATTATATTTATTAAAAAATCGTATAGAAAACTAATTTGATTTCTTTTATTTATTTAAAAAACACACATTTTTATAAAGAAAAATATTTATACAAAAACGACAATCTCATCCTCAAATATTCATTTCATATCTCCCTCCATCCCAATTTGCCTTTGAATTGCTTTTCTCTTTCCCATTTTATTTTCTCACTTGTTTACAATTGCCCAATACATCCAAAATAAATCCATGACCACATTCCTGATCGGCCTTCAATTTGTCGGGATTTGTCATTTCAACATTTTCCAAAACGAATTTCTTATCCTTGTGTGGTACAAATTCAGCGGAATCCTTACTCAAATGATCTTTAAAATCATGGAACTTCGTTTCGATTTTCGTATGCA